ATGATCTTGAACAAGCCACATTCTCTCAGGATCTCATCACAATAGGAAATATTCTGTTTCTGAGACTGTGAATGTGACAAGGTCTTCAGGCTTGGAGGAAGAGAATGGCAAACTTCCTCAGAATGCATCTTGCCAAGAAAAGAATGACAAGAACATTTCTTCCTCATTGCTTCATACCTACAATACAAAGGGACCTGACCTGCTTAAACCACCCATGCTTTCTCTCCAATTTACTTCTTGCTTACACAGTAAAAACAGCCCAAAAGATACATAATATTAATGTCTGGATTGAATAAGTATAAACAAGAGTGAAAACACCTTACGTTCACTTGCTTCTTAAAAACAAATGTCAAAATGTTATATCAGATTGTTATTTTATAAAGTTGTTTAAAGCTGATCCATAATATTTTCAAAGCATCTTCCAGCCCTGTGTCATCTAGCAATGGAAAGTATACTTGAAACACATTCCAAAAATGTTTGGAAAACATGTTCCTTAAGTGCTGAGGGAACATTAAGAGAAGATTCCTGAAGTGATTACAATTGTCACAGATCAGGATCTATTCTATGCAGGTAGTATTTCTATGCAGGAAACAGCAGGAAATATTGTTTTGAATGCAAATAATGCTATTCCTTGCAGAGAAAGTTCTGTATTTGCAGAATTGCAACATTCGGACATGGGTGATTTGCATAGAAAATACCATTTCTGCATAAGAAAATGCTGTTTCCTGTGCATAACATTCTGGTTTCTTTGTAAATCAACCATAGAGCAATTTTGCACAAAATGTTTTTCCTCAATTTTAAATCAGCTTTAAAAACTGCAGTGTTTGAAGGTTTTCTTGAAACCAAAAGAAAAGTACTAAAATAATACATTGCTTCATTTGAGAAGACAAATAAGTGAATAATGGTGTTTGTAATCTAATTTGAGTTTTGGTTGCTTATGGGATCATCCCTTAGATCAGTGATTCTCAACCTGTGAGTCTCCAGATATTTTGGCCTTCAACTCCCAGAAATCCTAACAGCTAGTAAACTGGCTGGGATTTCTGGGAGTTGTAGACCAAAACATCTGAGGACCCACAGGTTGAGAACCACTGCCTTAGATGCATCCTGAGAATTAGGACCTGATGTTACCTACTATAATATCCAGGTTTCAATTGCTAGACATAGGATGTATTTGGGTTTACTTTTCATATATCTTGGTGGTATGGATAGTTAGGAGTAAATAAATATACTGGGCATATTGAACATTTTCACAACCTATTTAATCACTCTTTTGCATGCACCTTAGTTAAGTTCCCTGTAACTGACAGTTTGTTCCAAGGACACGTTTGCACTATGGAATTCTACAAATCTATTGAGCAGCCACACTGACTAACCAACATTTCTAGCCTGTTCCGATATTACAATGCTGAACAACCCAAGAGAAAGCCTTCTTCAGAAATCATTCCTTTCCCTGCTATATTGGATGTCTCAATTTGCTAATTTTCAGGAAACTTTATAAGACTTTGGGCTAATACAAAATATTCATAAACATTAATTTTGACAAGTATTAAGATTGGCACCCCAACCTCCACAGGTGTATATAAGCCCTTTCCAGATTTTTGAAACTCAGGGGTGAATGGTTGTGGAGGCTGGAATTCTGGGAGCTCTGTCTTCTCCTCTGTCATTGCTATTCTAGTGGAAATTGGAGCCTGAATAACTATTTTTATCATTAAAAAGTTGAGGGATCCAAATACAAAGCTTGCACAATTTGTCTATTTCAGTGATTACTCTTTTTAAGATATCTTGGGCTACAACATGCCAGCTCCACCAGACTTTAAAACAGGATTTTATAATGTCTGTTGCCCACTTCATGTCTTTGAAACTAGCAAAGAAATCCCCACAGTAACAGCAATCAGGAAGCTACACTTTATATGCAATTGGAATAGACTCTTCAAAAGCTGTTTGAGTTTGAGAGACCTTCTATGAAATACAGACGTGATAAATAAATGTTCAAGGCTGAGTCAAACTGAAGAAGACAAGGTGGATCATGATTCTGTCACATAGATCCCCAGGCACATCTCTGCTTCCCGCTCAGAACTATATGTTCCTTTTGGCCTAAACCTATTCAAATGCTTGGCTTTAAAAGCACATTGCCCATCTCCTCGGGAACTTCTTAACAGCTGAGAATGTACCCATCTTCCCCTTGATAGATTGAATTCACTCCCTCACACCTCAGAGGACATTTATGAAAATAGCTTTCCTCCTATCAATCATTCCCTCTCCTTAGCCATAGAAGGGAGGTGAGGCAGGAGGAGTATGACAGGATGGGAGAACGGAAAAATGGACAGGCAGTTATGAAAAAAAAAATGACAGGTAGAGTTGGATATCCCAGGGTGGGGAGAGGGTGGAGTCAACAGGAAAACCATTTGGCAGATAATAGCCCCTGACATTATATCTAGTCAATCTGATACATGTAATAAGTGCTCACAATGGCAGGACATAAACTAAAATTGATTGTACATATGTAATAGCATTGTGTGTGTGCATTATTAGACATGCCATACACACACATACATGCATACACTTGGTTGCACTCTTGTCTATTTTCTTTCTCTTGCGGTCTCAAATAAATCCTTCTTAGCCACTTAGCTGGACTGCAATGTGATTCTATATTTGGAACGAAGAACCCAACAGCTGGAGTTATTTTAAAAAATGGCTTCCAAGTTGTTCATTCTTAATCCCATACATTTGTGCCCTTCATCACTTATGTTCTGCTTGTTTCCAAAGCACAAAGTTAACTAAGAATACAAAAGGCTCAGAAAGAAACCTGGTCAGGCTCTGATCCCCTTTTACATAGCTGTATCCTCTTTGGGGGGGGGGGGGGGAACTTTGTGACATTTCTGTTAAGGTTTGGACTGGCAAAGGTTTCCAAAGCGACTGCAGATGGTTAAAAACATGTATTCCACACAAATAAATGCATCAGTAGTTGGGATAGAAAATGAAATGTCCAGTGGTTGATATGTTGTTCTCAGCTCTGCAGGTAGATTTCATATCACCCCTGATGGAGGCCATTGATATATAAATATAACCCAGAATAAAAATAGTCATCCACTGACTATGGAGATGACTTGGAGATGTGTCTCCTTCTCTCCTTGTGGATTCTATTGGATGCTGTCCAGTTTTTGTTGCTTCTCAAAAGACACTATCCAACCTAGTAAGCATACCCAACTTGGCCTTACACTTCAGCATGGGAGGGGGGGGGGTGTTTGAGGGTGGGCATCCAGTGAAGCCTTTCATATCTTCATGTTTTAATGGTAAATCAAATAAGAGATGTTCTAGTACACCTTATCACCACCACACTGTGGCAATCCTCATCTGATCAACTTCAACAGCCAAAAAAGGCCTACACGGGTGTGTAGAAGATGATCCAATCCCTACAACACACATAATGACTTGCCATATGGAGACTACAGCCATACAGAGCCATTTGAACTGGTTTGCATTAAAACACTGCAATTTCCCCTTAGTTCTCTGTCATAACCTAGCCAATGCCATATTCCATCAGCACAGTAACCCAACTGAGTTTTGGATTTATTATCATCTCATTTAAAATATGAAGGATATCTCCACATGTACTGAATATCTAAAAGACTATGTTAATTCAGTTTTAATCACAATGACCACAACTTCTGTGACTATTTTAAACCAGCCCAAATGGCCATGCCTAAGAAGCATATTATTGAGATTTTTTCCCCTTAAAGATTTTTGAATAAGAAAGGTTGATCAATTTTTATGCTCAGGTCTTTTCTCTATCATGCACTTTTTCATGGTCCCCAAAAGAGCCACCATTTTCCAAGTCAGTAGCTATATATTAGCCATATATTAAACACCTTCAATGTTTGAAATAAAAATTATTGTTATTTCTGTGAGGATTTGTTTGTAGACACTAGGCAAACAGCAAAAATTCAGAGTCTAATCCTGACTAATTATAATCATAATAAACATATTCTGAGTTCTGACTCACAAGTTATGTTATTCCCATCTGGTCAATCCTTGGTTATGAGTAGCATGTCTCTCTACAAACCACATGCTCCCTATTCCTAGAGTCCAGGCTTGAAATGTATAATTTTCAAGGAAACCTGCAGCATTTGCTGTGTTTGAAAAATTGCAGGGTCAGTAAAAGCCATCTTTGGGAATAATTCATGAGACTTGACCACTAATTGTATAACGCATTTTAGGGATGGAGTCAAACTGCCTCCAAGCCACAATGTTTTAAATAGAGATCAGAACACTTTCAAAAAATATTTTTCAATAAAACATTCTCTCTCTACTCAATTCAGTTCACTGGCACACTGTCTTGCTTGAGCTTAGAACCAAAAAACAAACAAAAAAACAAAAACCACACTCCAAAATCAAATTAACTCTTTTTTAAACACTTGTTTGAAATCATTGAAACATATGCAACTGAATTCTTCACTGCTATTTGTTGTAAACATTAGATCAATTACCAATTGTATCCAAGTACTACTATGTCTATACTCAGGTTCACCACTAGATGTATAATGAATGCCCCACTAGAGGTTTAAGGAATATTTTTATTAACCCTTCTCAAAGACTCCTTGTTTACTGAATTTGATTTATGAGTATAACCACACTGGGGGTAATAATTTCAGTATAGAATGTTCTAGTGTTATATGTATATGGTGCACATATTCCATGATCACTACTGCAACCATGTAGTTCTTACTGAAGGCCCTAGTTTTGATGGATAGCCCCTATACTTTGTTTTAATGGACCACTACTGTTTATTTCCTCTACCTAGAAGCAAGTCTCTCTTGGAATAGACGGGGAAAAGGTGAGTTCCAAATAGGAAAAGAATATGTATGCTGTTATTCTAGGCCCACAAATATCTACCCATCATCCTTATACACCTTCCTAGTCTTAGAAACCATGGTTTGTTCATGCTATTCCTTCCCTGATCCATTTTACAGATAGACTTCTTGCCTGAATCTCATTCTTACCTGAGAGGGGAAGCTGAGAGAAGCAAGGAGCTTTCTGCCGAATAGGACAGGCTGCGGGGGTCTGCAAACCTCACCAGGCGATTAAGTCCTCCTGTTATAGTGACATTTGATCTTCTACAGAATCTCATTGGTCATCAAGCTCAGAACATGATGGAAGGAAAGAGTAAGGAAAGGGAGAGGGATGGAAGGGGGTGGGGTGAGGAGGAGAAAAGGTCATACCAACTATAGGAACAGCTGAAGGAATTGCAGCAGGCAAAGATGGGAGGGACACATATGGAGTGGGAGGGAGAGAAACAAACATCCTATGGCCTCGGTTTCTATATTTATAACCCAACCAGGCAAGCAAAATGTAAAGAGGGCTGCTCCGTGCAAAGGAGATACAGGCTCCCAATCATGGAGGGAAGAGAAGAGCCTGGTGTTGTTTTGTAATTTCTTGCTTTAAAGCCCATTTTACCCCAGAATTGTTTCAACCTCAATAAAGTTAGCTGCATGCATCATCACCCATATAAGTGTTTTCTTGTTCATTGTTGATTGTTTTAAAGACACACTCTGACAAATAGGGCGATGGGTTGCTGTGAGTTTCCTGGGCTGTATGGTCATGTTCCAGAAGCATTCTCTCCTGACATTTCGCCCACATCAGCATCCTCAGAGGTTTGAATAAAGAACAGCACTCAGAAAACAGGGGAATTCCAGACCAAAAAAAACTAGGGCAAGCTAACAACTCCCAACAAAAGATTTCCCCCAGGCAGGAAGCAGCCAGGCTTTGAAGCTGCAAGGCCATTCAATGCTAATCAAACTGGCCAATTGTAACATTCACACTTGCCTGAAACAGACAAGAGTTCTGGGTTGTTGTAGGTTTTTTGGACTATATGGCCATGTTCTAGAAGCATTCTCTCCTGACATTTCGCCTGCATCTATGCAGGTGAAACATCAGGAGAGAATGCTTCTAGAACATGGCCATATAGCCTGAAAAACCTACAACAACCCAGTAGTTCTGTCCATGAAAGCCTTCAACAAGACAAGAGTTCTTTCTCCTACACTGGACATTCCACATATATATAAACCCCACTTGCCTAGTTTCCAACAGACCTCACAACCCCTGAGGATGCCTGCCATAGATGTGGATTCTGGAACATGGATTCTGGAACATGGCCATACAGCCCGAAAAACTCACAGCAACCCAGTGATTCTGGCCATAAATGCCTTTGACAACACAAATTAATTTATTTATTTACTATATCTATATACCGCTTTTCTCAGCCCACGGGCGCCTCAAAGCAGTTTACAGTAGCAAAATTCCATGCTCAAAACATCATAAAACAATTAAAACAATGGCACAAATATACAATCATTACAAAGGCAATAAAACATAACTCATTAGTATCTCGTAGTTAAAATCAAGATCCAAACAAATAGGGTCAAGTTCAAGACTGCTGCAAAGGACTATATGGCACACACTCTCATTACATGTACAGAAGAAGACCAGATTGACAACGGAATCTTACTCTGACAATGATGATAAACAACTATTTTCCACTGACTCTGGAATAGCAAGCCAACTTTGGTGATGGTATAGAACACCCATTCTGTCCAGTATTTCATTTATATCTCTTGCCACAGTATCTGACACTTAAATTGGCTGCCTTACTTTGCTTAAAGGTAAAGTCATCCTTTTTGCTAAGATTCAAGAGCATTGTTTTCCAAACACAATATAATTTGAATAAGGAATGAAGACAACATCTGATGATGTGGACTGTAGTCCATGAGATACCAAATAACGTATGTTGGTTCTTAATGTGTAAGTCCTAAAGACACTGATGTTTAGAGAGCAACAGATTGACACAGATACCTTTCGGGACCAATCTCCATTATTTGAACAATATAGAGAAGTGGCTGAGAACTGATTTGAGTCCTCACAGTGTCTTCCTGTATCTTGCAAATTCAGTAGAAAAGTGAGGAAGCAAAGCTGGACCTACCAGATCAAACTGTGAAAGCAAAACAAAACAAGGCACTCTGAACCATACTTTCTTTTCCATTTGCACCAATAAAACTGATTAGCCTGAAGTGTCCAGAGATTCATCAAAGGCTTTCTTGGAACAGACTAGCTTTCCTGCAAATGTTATGGCTCTGAAACAACATACAAAACTCCACACTTAACTGTTAGAATGTTTTTTTAGACTTACATATTTATCTGTAACTACTGGCAGTTAGTCATATGCCCTGCTTTACCATAAAAATATGTGACCATGTCTTTATTATCACAGTTGAAGAATAAATATCTTTTTTCCCAATGTTAATTTGCCTAGTCATTTCTGAGCTATGATGATCCTTGGGCCCCATCTACACTGCCATATAATGCAGATTGAATTGCATTGAACTGGATTATATTACTCTAAACTGGGGTGTAATCCAGTTCAATGCAGTTAAACTCCATTCTGAAACTGGATAATATGGCAGTACAGATCCAGCCTCAGGTGAACTTATCACCAAGTTTTCTTGGCAGGTATTTTTAGCAGGAGGTGCTCTTGCTTTCTCCTGAGGTTGAGAGGGTGTGACCAGTCCCCTCACTCTTAAGCTTCAGGAAAAACCTTAAGAGTTGGCTATTTAAGCAAGCCTTTGAGGATTAATATGACTTGTATAAGAACGGTGGAAGCAATTGGTTTAATGTTTTTAAAGTTGGTGCTAGACCTTTGTTTTAATCATCTGAAAGCTTATTTATAATTGATATGTATAAGTTTTTACAGTTTTGTAATATTGAGTTTTACTGTTGTTATTGTCTGGATCTGACACTGAATTATTGCCATAATTTGTAAGCAGCCCTGTGTCCCCCTTCGGGGATGAGAAGGGCAGGGTATAAGTACAGTAAAGAAATAAACAAACAATGTTATCCAGTGGATTATGAGTCTATGTACATGGGATCCTAGTGTCTTAAACCAACACTCTACATGCTACACAACACTGGCTCTGTTTTAAGATAGGCATATCTCTTATTTTCAAAAGAAGAAGAGGAGGAGGAGGCTGGTATTAGTAACAAAGAATTGTAAACACGCTGTCTGAGAAATATCTCTTGAATATGTATTTCAAGTTTCCCTGACCACAATAAAATGAATATCCAAGGAACTTCAGTTTTGTATTCCTCCGTAGAATGGGGTTGGACTAGAAGGCCCTTGTGACTCTTTTCAGTTTTATGATTCTATGATTATAAAAGAATTGTAAATAGCGTGTGTGTAAAATCTTGATTAAATTATGGATTTCCTTCCCTCTCTATTTTTAAAAAAGAACTAAATTGATGATTTGGTGCACAAATTTGAGAACCAGTGAGTATGGTGGATAAGAAATTTCCAGGGGATGGCAAAGTTTGTGTGTGTGTGTTGTTGTTGTTGTTGTTGTTAAAACAACAATTACCCAAATCTCTGGAGATTCACCAGCTTCTGACAATGTTCAAAATCTTTTGGGTTTAAACCCTGGTGGGGGGGGGGGGGTTACCTTTAGGAGGAATGTTCAATGTATTTGCTGAACCCCAATGGATACCAAAATCCATTGATGCTCATCTCCCATTGTTAGAACACCAGAGTAAAATGGTTTGGCTCCAACCCAGTTCCAAGATCCACAGTATCCAGAGCTTCGCAGGTATAGACATTGGGGGGTTTCCCAATCCCCCCCCCCCCACACACACACACACACACACTTCAATGCCTGTGTGAAGATTGCCAAAGCACCAGTCCCTTGATCCATTTTGCCATGCAATGTGTTTTACACCTTTGTACACTGATATGCATTACAATTCATTGAAAAACTATAGCAAAATTTGCTGCAGAATGTCCTGCAAAAAGGAGGTATTTTGCAGTTTAATTAACATTTTCCATGTTTTTAATTATAGAACCAATTAGGAAGTGACATTTATAATCCAGGAACAAAAAGTGTGTTACATAGTGTAATTTATATGACAAGTTTTTGTCTAGTTCATGTCCTATGCACTCCACTTTTTTCTTTTCCTTTTTCCTTCCCCCTTTCCCCTTTTTTGGCCAAATCAACACAAGGACTATATCCCAGCTCCAGTATACAGTATCGTGCCCCTGTTTGATTTCATTAACATCACATTCATCTATTTTAGTGCAAACTTAAACTGATCTTGAAGCCACACATTTCCCATATTCTGAAGTCACCTAGGTACAAAAAAGGTTTCTACAATGGTTACATGTTCACTATATTGGAATATTTTAGGTCAGATGGCCACAGGTTTTCCCCCCTTCCTGGAATATTTATCTCAATATAGCCATCTAAACCAGTAATTCTCAACCTGTGGGTCCCCAGGTGTTCTGGCCTACAACCCCCAGAAATCCTAGGCAGTTTAGAACCACTGATCTAAACCAATAGCTTTTCTTATTTTCCTGTCATTCCCACTACCAAACTCATGTTAGAGGGTGTGCATGTGGCTCCCTCGCCACCTTTCCTTCTCTTTTCCATCCACAATCCCATGACCTATCAATCTTTATGTGTGGTTGCATGTCTGTTGGCGGATCTAATAATAATAATAATAATGTTGTGCAGACAAACTACAAGCAGAGGCATAACACCATTGCTCAGATGATTCATTGGAACTTGCGCATATACCATCTGCCTGAGATAAAGAACTGGTGGGATCACAAGCCGGAAAAAGTTACAGAGCATGAACACGCCAAACTCCTCTGCCACTTTTGAATTCAGACAGACAGACAGAGTTTTAGAGCACAATACTCCTGACCTCACAATTGTGTTAAAAAGTATGGGTAGTTGATGTCGCAATCCCAGGTGATAGCAGGATTGAAGAGAAACAATTGGAAAAGCTGACACGATATGAGGATTTAAAGATTGAACTGCAAAGACTCTGGCACAAGCCAGTCAAGGTGGTCCCAGTGGTGATCGGCACACTGGGTGCAGTGCCTAAAGACCTTGGCCTGCACTTAAACACAATTGGTGCTGACAAAATTACCATTTGTCAGCTGCAAAAAGCCTGGGATCTGCACGCATTATTCACCAATACATCACGCAGTCCTAGACACTTGGGAAGTGTCCAACGTGTGATCCAATACAACAGCCAGCAGAGTGATCTTGTCTGCTGTGGACTCATCTTGTTGTGTTTCTAATAATAATAATAATAATAATAATAATAATAATAATAATAATAATAATAATAATTACAATTCCCAGTTTATCAGCTGTGAGGATTTCTGGGAGTTCAAGGCCAAAACATCTGGGGACCCTCAGGTTGAGAACCACTAGTGTAATTCTTCAATCCACATGAAGTAGTTGTCAGTGTTGACCTGACCTGTGTGAGAGGCAAGGGTGCAGTGTCGGCGCTCGGCCAGTAGAGGGCTCTGCGGCACCAAGAAAGAGGGCGACGAGAAGGTGCGTCTTTAGGGCTAGTTCTTCGCCCCTGGCAGGTGGCCTCCGGCTGCGAACGAGGACAGAGGCGCTGATGTTTTATTTTGGGCCGGGATCCCAGCCTCTCTCTCTCTCTCTCTCCCTCCCTCCCTCCCTCTTTTGGAAAGGGAAGAGTCCTCCCGGGCCAAGGATGCGCCGGCAGGGCTTTCAACCCGCGGAGCTGAGAGCAGCGAGCGGCAGCCTGTAGCCTCTCCCTCGGCGGCACTCTCAAGGTAACGAGACCCGAGCCGCCGCCGCCCCTTTCCCCCTTCCCCCTTGCCCTTCCTAACCCCTTGCCAGGGATGAGCACCCGAGCCACCCCTAAGGAGGCGCCCACACTGCAGAACTAGCGCGGTGTCACGCCGCTCCGCCTGCTCCAAGCTGTAGCATCCGTAGCTTGTCAGGTCTTTCGCCTTGATCCCGCGGCAAAGCCCCGCCATTCCATAGCATTGAGCCCATTCCAGTTCATCCTCCAGTATAGCTGCACCTTGAGGATGAGCATCCGAGGAAACCCTCGGGCTCCGAAGCTCTGCTGGCCAAGTTGGAAAGTTAGCCTGTCCGTGTGTTGTCAGGTTGCAGAGGGGAGCAAAGGCACCCAAGGAGAGATTGGGGGGTTCGTGGAGGGAGGCGGTGGAACACCTCTCGTTCTCTCTCCCTATGTCATCTATGACGGATGCAACCTTGCATGTGTGGAAAGCATTTGAAAGGACACCCCCATCCCTTTTGCTGAAAATGATGCATTTAGGAAGCAATGACAGAAATTCAGCAGAGCTACAAACGTTTTTGTTTTGTTTTTTGTTTTGTGTCCGGAGCAACTTGAGAATCTACAAGTCGCTTCTGGTATGAGAGAATTGGCCGTCTGCAAGGGGTAACCCAGGGGACACCCAGATGTTTTGATGTTTTGCCATCCTTGTGGGGGCTTCTCTCATGTCCCTGCATGGGGAGTTGGAGCTGACAGAGGGAGCTCATCCACGCTCTTGCTCTCCCCGGATCCGAACCTCCAATCTGTCGGTCTTCAGTCCTGTCAGCAAAAGGGCTTAACCCATTGCAGCCACAGAGTAACGTTTCTGATGTAATGGTGGCCATACAGAAGAAAGGTCTATTCAGCTGCCTGGGATCAGCTGATAGCTTCAGGGGTCCTTTTGCTGCTAAACTTTAGATCAGGCCTGGGCAAACTTTGGCCTTCCCTCCAAGTGTTTCATAACAGCCCCAGGCCCTTTCCTTTTCCCCCTCAGCTGCTTAAATGGAAAAGGAGAAGTAGAGGAAGGAAGGGTGGGAGTCGAAGTCCAAAACACCTGGAGGGAAGGCCAGAGTTTGCTCATGCCTGCTTTAGAGGATGCAGGAAAAGAGGAAACGTGGTTGGAAATGTATCCTATCTACTTCATGCCTTATATACTTGAATGTGACTTGAATTTAGAAGCATGGCACTGCAATTTACCCCCAAAAGACCAGGATCTCAGGGTAGACAGCCTGCATTTCAGGTGCTGAGTGCTCCTGCTGGAAACCCCTGTTGGGTCTTCACCCATTTGAGATTCTCCCCAGAGAGTTGTGTTTCTCTGTGACCAAATGTGGTCAGCTCTCCCTATCCATGGATTCTGCATTCAGGAAGTTGACATTCCACAGCTTGAAATTTTCAAAACAAAATTCTGGAAAGCAAACATCAATTTTGCCATTTTATATAAGGGGCATCATTGGACTACACCTATAATGGGACTTGCGCATCCACAGATTTTGGTATCCACAGGGATCCTGGAATCCAACCCCAGCAGATATGGAGAGCATGCTGTACCCATTTGGGTTGGAGAAAGAGCACCAGGCTCAAAAGTCGTGTCCTTAGTTGCAACAAACTGTAATGATGAACATGTTCATTATATCATAAGTGTCCTGCCCGTGAGAGAAAAGTGGGATAATAAATATATAATATAATATAATATAATATAATAAAATTGATAATAATTAGTGCATGCTGTACCATGTAACACATTCGTGGTTTATTTTTCTCTTAGGGCCCTTTCACATTGCATAATGATAGCACTCTGATTCCACTTTAACTACCATGGCAACATCCCATGGGATTGGCAGCTTAGAGAGGGGCCTTACAGATTCTCAGAAAGCTCCTCTAATAGCGATCTCCCTAAATGACAGAAAGTGGGATTTCATAAGATGCAACCATGGCAGTTCAAATGGAATCATAGCACTACAATGGTGTGAAATGGCCCTTGATATAATTGCTCTTCATTATACAGGTTGAGTATTCCTTACCTGAAATGATTGGGACTAGAAATGTTTTGGATTTTTTCAGATTTTTGGAATACCTGTATTAGTGTATGCATACACAATGAGATTTCTTGCAGATGAGACCCAAGTGTAAACATGAAATTCATTTATGCTTTATGTACATCTGCAGGTAATTTCATGCACAGTAATCTGCATAAAATAATGTGGCGCAGTGGGTTAAAGCACTGAGCTGCTGAGCTTGTTGATCAAAAGGTCGCAGGTTCGATTCCGGGGAGCGGTGTGAGCTTCCACTGTCAGCCCTAGCTTCTGCCAACCTAGCAGTTCGAAAACATGCAAATGTGAGTAGATCAATAGGTACCGCTCCGGCGGGAAGGTAACGGCGCTCCATGCAGTCATGCCAGCCACATGACCTTGGAGGTGTCTACGGACAACGCTGGCTCTTCAGCTTAGAAATGGAGATGAGCACCACACCCCAGAGTCAGACATGACTGGACTTAATGTCAGGGGACTACCTTTACCTTTTTTTAATGTGCATAAAACGGAATTCATCTATGCTTTATGTACATCTGCAGGTAATTTCATGCACAAATAATTGTGTACATGAAATGAATTGTCTGTGCTTTGAAGCACCAGAAAGCAAAGATGCCATTATTTCAGCTACCCATGTGGACAATTTTGGGTTTGGGAATACTTTGGAATTACTAATAAAGGATTCTTAGTGACAGATCGCCAAGGATGGAGAGCATCAACTAGGAACTTCTCCAAGTCCTGTGTCTTTTTCAAACCTTTTAATCATTTTTAACATGCAAGAGATCAGTAGTCCTACCTTGTGTTAATAAATCCCAAAATATTGATTAGCCTCTACCCTATGAACTTGCGTAGTAAGGAAGGGGGGCATCTTTTCACCTCTAGAGGTAATTCACACAGTGAGACAATTAAATGTCTTTAGACTCAGGACTTCATAGTTTTACAAGGGCAGGGAATTCTTTAAATGATCCAATTTTTTATTTTTTGTGTCAGGAGTGACTTGAGAAACTGCAAGTCGCTTCTGGTGTGAGAGAATTGGCTGCCTGCAACATTTCCCAGAGGATGCCCTGATGTTTTCCCATCATGTGGGAGGCTTCTCTCATGTCCCCGCATGAGAAGCTGGAGCTGACAGATGGGAGCTAACCCTGTTCCCCAATTTCAAACCAGCAACCTTTCAGTCAGCAGTTCTGCCGGCACAAAGGTTTTAACCCTTTGCGCTACCGGGGGCTCCTAATGATCAAGGTTATTAGCTCACTTTCAAGTGTGGTATTCCAGGCATGCTGCATTTGCAAAACCTTTTACTCACCCTGTTTAATAGGGCCCGCATACCTGCCCCAAAGGCTTGCCAAATTGGCACCACTAGGTGCATCTTGGACTTTTGGAAAGGCCAGTGGAAAATGTTATCTAATGTAAATAAATAGCTGTCCTTGTGATTACCAGACACTTAGACTATGTTTTAGAAAGCCCCCAATGCAGATTCAATATCCATGGCTTCACATACCAACACACCAGAAAATATTCCTTCCAGATGTTTTTGTGGGCCTTTCTAGGTCCTCCAGTGCAATTCTGTGGTATGCTTCTGACCCAAATGTAGGCAAAATACAAAGTTCACTATGATCCATGGTTTAAAGTATCCACGAGGAGTCCTGAGTCCCTTTGGGGAGATAGAGCAGAATATAAATAAAGTTGTTGTTGTTGTTGTTGTTGTTGTTATTGTTATTATTATTGGTACGTATCACCTTTGTGGGTATGTCGGTAGTACTATACATTAATTTATGTGCAGTAACAATGATTTATTCATTTTAATTTCAAATATGTCTTTCTTATGCTCATGGCAACTCATGATAAATTCAAGAGTTGCAGTATAAGATCATAAATAAAACTCATAAAACAGAGAACGCTATAAAAAGCAACATTTCAAAACATATTTCAGAAGTCAGATTAGGAAGAAAGTGTCCTGATGTAAATGTTACCTTCATTTTTCACTGAATTTTTGGGCTCAGGAGAATAATGTGCTTAACAGCACAGCCTGATCCATTGCCCATTTAGAAGTAAGTTTCTTTTCTTTATTTTTAAGTAGTTCAAGGTTCCACCATTTGTATACCTCAACTAAGATACCTCCCTGCCTTTGCTCCCATTGATTATACCTCAGATGGCAAGCAATAAGAAAGGGCGACCTTTAAAAAAGGATGCCAATTTTTGCTTCTCTCATTCATGCCTGTGAAAATGAGTAATTTAAAACGTTTTCTCTCTGTTGAGGAAAATTATAAAAGTTTTTCTTTGTTTTTGTTATTTTTGTAATTTTGAGCTTCTCAGTGGGTTAAACTGCTGCAGAACTTGCTGATTGGAAGATTGGCAGTTCGAATCCGCAGATAAGGTGAGCTCCCGTCATTAGCTCCAGCTTCTGCCAATTTAGCAATTCGAAAACATTCAAACGCGAATGGATCGATAGGTACCGCTGTAGCAGGAAGGTACCTATGCTGGCCACACAACCTTCAAGGTGTCTAAGGACAACACTGGCTCTTCATCTTAGAAATGGAGATTATCACCACCCTCCTGAGTCAGACTCAACTAGACTTCATGACAGGGAAAACCTTTACCTTTACCTTTTATTGAAAAATAAAAATTCACTTGGTGTTGTTTTTTGCAAAATTCACCACTGCATTTTGTGTATTTTTAAAAGTACCAAATTATATTGTTTTTCAATCTTGCAATGGTTATCCATTTTCTTAGCAGGATACCATTATGTGTCAAGTTTCCTTTCTAGCCAAGGATTCGAAGATTTGTGCACTTCTTTACATCCATTCCTTACCATCAAATTATAGCTGTGTTTCTTCAATGAGCATATAATGGGATAAGGAGATCCAGTAGCTCAGGAGCAGACTAGTAGGCCTCAGGTATCAGGGTTAGGAAGAACCTGTTTCTGCAAAGTTTCTGTTAGTTGGGACAGATTAATCCTTCTCAGCAT